GTATTAGATAAATTTCAGTAAGTGTGTTCAATACTTTTTCCCTGTGCCATTCCACATTATTACAAATAACTTCATTTTGATTTCTTTGTATGTGTGGATCACTTGGGTTGTTACCAACATCTGGTGAAAATTTCATGTCATTAGCACCTCTAGTAATATATTTACTGAGAAAAATGGTGACGTGTTCAACACTTATTTTACCCGATGTATAAAGGGGCTGATCAGGACATTTTGACACACGGCGGGAGCGGGGGGGCAGTGAAATATACTAAATTACTAAAGTATTTAGCAACAAAACTGATCAAAGTAATACTTCATTGTAATCTAAGAAAATAAATATTTACAATCTCAAAAACTAAACTACTGGAAAACATGAAAATTGAATAGTAAATTTAAACTCGTCCCTCTTCTAACATGAAACATGATGTGACCTAATGCAACTGTGACTTCTTGTTACAGCTGTGCTGTTTACACTGAGGGGCTGCTTACACTGAGGAGCTGTTTACACTGAGGAGCTGTTTACACTTAGGGGCAGGACAGCTGCCTCTCCAAAGGAACTGACAACTCAAAGAAACAAACGTTAAATAATTGGAAATGACAAAATAATTTATTACAAACTTTTAAGTATATGCGTCCACTGTAAATAATTACCCTAATGTCAAATAACGCAAAAGTGTTCAATTATCTACATAAGTATTTAAATTAGGGCTGTGAAATTAATCGAGTTAACTCACATTGCTTAATTTTAGTGCTGGGCATAGATTAAAAATTTTAATCGCGATTAAAATTTACACTCAGTTTACTATGGCTGAATAAGTAGGTTTGTATATTGCAACGCACTCAGTGCATGCCAGGTCATGTTTGTAAATGAGAAGTGGTTCTCAAACAGTTTACCTGGATAATTAATGGTTAAATAAATTAGGGTTGGGCAATATTGGGGAAAAAATAATCACGATTAATTGTGGTATTTTGCCGATGACAGTTAATTTGATGATTAATCCCCTGGAGTCCCTGGACATACTTATGTCCTGGTCAGACATTGGTCAACTTAGATTAATGAAATTTGCATATTTACAAAAACTAGTGGCCTCAGCCTTTATTTACTGTGTGGCTACAAGTGCTGCTGTCACAGTACATGTGTGTGTGGAAGGGTTTTTCCTACAACGTGGGGACAATTTTCAAAAAAAAAAAAACAGCCTCGTGGGGACCAATGTCAAGTCCCCACAGGTCCAAACGCAAATTACGGGTGTGGGGTTAGGTTTAGGACCAAGGTTTAGGTTAGTTTTAGGGTAAATGGTCAGGGTTAGGATATAAAGTATAAAAAAATGAATGGAATTAAAGTGAAGGTCCCCATGGGGTTCAAGAACAAACGTGTGTGTGTGTGTGTGCGCATAATCATACATACATACATATATATATATATATATATATATATATATATATATATATATATATATATATATATATATATATATATATATATATATATATATATATATATATATATATATATATATATAAAAGTCTGTGTTACTAGGATGCCTTCAAAACGTGAGGAAAAAGCCCAGCAAGAGATAAAGAGAACCAGCTCCAGCTGTTATCATTTTGTTGATTGCCAAATAATGGTAGCTACGATTATCAACTATTATAAATGTCAAATAATCAAAACTATTGTTCAGTCTTACTTATAAAAAGGCAATCCCATGTAGCCCAATCTGTTTTCAAAACTGCACAGATTAATGCACCAGATAAGGCCATAGTCACTGGCTTTGGTGATGCCTAAAAGGAAGAGAGACCCATCCAATATGGCGGCGACGCACAATGCAATTCAGCCCGTCATAACATAGCTAGCCTTTATCTACGGTACAAAACACAGCCAGGTTCTGTTAGACACCACAAAGAAGTCGGTGGCTCCGGACACAAGATGGCGTCATCGAGCTTAGAGGCAAAACATACTGTAGCTCACATTTCTGTATTGTTGTTTTTGTTGTTGTTCTTGTTTTTTTCCTTTTTATTACATCTTTTGTCCTTTTTTTTTCTTAATTTGAAATGTCTGTAAGATATGCAAACTTCTTATTAAAAAAATAAACTGTGGCGATTCAACTCCACGCCCACACCTTCACAGGTGCAGCCAGTAAAGCCAGTCTGGAACTGTTGCAGGACCACTGCTTGAAGAAGAGGGGTGTCTCAATCTCAGATACAATTAAATTTATTTTCCATCAACTCTATGACAGTCTGGAGATGAACTTAAAGATCTGTATGAGAGCTTTTCTCTGACAGGAAACATTCCAGACTGAATGTTCACTTCCACTTGTGGCTCTGTTATTTTTTATGTATCACCAAACATTCAGGCTAACTCTGTTAAAGATGGGTAAAACCAATCTTGGCTGGAAAACAAAACAAAAAAAATCCCCCCACAATTCCTCTGGAAAGTTTTTTCTTGTATGAAACAGATTCCCAATGCAAAAAATAAAAATAAAATACTGGGGACTTCAACGTTATGTGAAAGTTAGATCTTCAAAAATCAGGCAGTCGGAGCACAAATGTCCACAATGACCCACTTCTGGGGAAACCCTTCATCTGGTGCCTGGGCTTCCAGTTTCTTCCCTCGACTTTATACTCTAAAGTCATGCTCCTGTTCAGAGTGAGCACAAAGTCTCCTCTCACCACAGCTGTAAACAGGGAGCCTCTGCTGTTAGCAAAATGTCCCGGTAGGGATGACCACTGACCAGAACTCAAACTGTAGCAGTCTATCAAGCATCTCAGAAAGTCATCAGATGGGCCATTCCTCATGACATAAAGGTTGTCTTTGTGGCCCACCAAACAGTGGCCATAGCTCTGGTGTCGGATTAGCGTTGTAATGAGTTGCCACTCATCTTTTATTGGGACATACTCATAGATCTCTGTGGTCTCCATCGGCCTCCACAAACAGAGGAAAATCCTCCTCATAGTTTTGGTACAAGCTGCTCCTGCTGCCGGTCGAGGTAAGTGAGCAGCAAATGTCCATGTGTCTCTCTTTGTGTTGTATATTTCCACACATGACATCACTGTTTGCTCAAATTCTCCTCCAATGGCATAAAGACAACCATCCACACCAACAAGGCTGAAATTATACCGCAATTGTGCCGGGCTGGTAATCCTAGTCCAGGTGTTGTCTTCAACACTGTAGCAGAAACAAGACTCTACAACTTGTTTGTGAACTCCATGAACTCCTCCGACGATGTAAAGTTTGTTGTCTAAAACTGTCACCCCAGCCATGGAGGTGCTGGCTTCCAGTGGGAGATCTGTTAGTACTTTCCAATCGTTTTCCTTTTCATCCAGGTAGCAGACTGTCCTGGAGGCGGCATGGACACTGGTGTCCCTGCCACAGCTCACGTGAGCCCCTACAGCCACAAAAACACTTGGTGCCAAAGACTCCACATATGAGACCAGCTCTGAGGGTAAGGACTTCTTGACATCTGCCTCCAAGTCTCTGTACATGTCTCGGATGAAGAGAGCTGCGGCGTGGTAAAGATCCATGAGTCCGAATGTTGCCGCAGTGTGATACATAAGCAGACAGTTGTCTGTGTCAATGAGATTGATAAGATGCATTGTGAGTGGTGTCACTTGTAAAAAAGCTGCACATTCAATCGCCTCAACAATGTCGTCTTCCGTCAGAACTGGCATCTCCCCATGCAGAACTGCCAAGGCAAGAAAGAAGCCTTGAGGTCGCACACATTGAAGATGGAGCTTGTCCTGTTGGCATTCCTTCATTCCAGAACGGTACAGAGCTTGGAAATAGTCACAGCTTTGAAGAAGTAACATCTTTTCTTCAGAGAAGTGTGTATCTCCAATCACAATAGTTAGTTTTTCAGAAACAAGACCAGGAGCTAAACATGGCTGATACCTTTCACCTTTTTCATGGCCATTCTCCTTTGATTCAATGCCATGGGCTGACATCCTCGTTCACCGACAGTGACACTCAAGTAGGCAAATATAACTTGAGAGGCTAAAGCACTCCCAAATGTTTTGAAGTTGAGCTGCAGGGAACAGTCACAGCCAGACACTGTTCAGAGAGGGTCCGCCTTTTGTATTTGTCAAAATAGAAACAGCTAAAAATAGAGGAGGGCAGATATGTGGAGTCAGTTCCACGTTGTGGTCTTCAGGGGAACAAGCACAGTTCTGTTGTAGAAAATTCACCCCAAGTGTTAAACATAATGCCTCATTATTTTGCACTGGGGACAGCTACAACATTGTTTGGGGGTGGTTATTAATACAATAGATTTCACTGTAAATGAAAGTTTTATTATTTTTCTATTTATATTATTGCTAAATTTTTAAGAACTGAGAGTTATTGTGATATTACTGTTATTTATTCATTGTTTTTGATCTAATGACAAATACAGATTTGCCTTGATGAATAGACCTTATATACAGATGACAAAGACTCATAAAATACAGTTGGCCTTCAGTGACAAGAATAATAGAACAATTTGTGAGGCAGTTAACTTTTGTTTTGCCTATTGTCAGTGTACGCTTCCATTATGCATCATTTATGATGAACAAAACTGGGATTTTAAAACCATTGTTGAAAACCACAACTGTAGAAAATACATCTTAAACACTTTTATGTTTTAAACTATAAAATTGTCATGAATACCCAATACCCTTTTAAGTGTAAACTTAATTTCAACATCTTAATATCATTTGTATGTACTCTGTTTTGTATGGATTTATCGTATGAGGACAGTTGCAATAACTGTTGCAACTGTCCCACTTCCTGTCAGCCATAATAAAACCTCATGTGTTAGCTAAATAAGCTGATCATGATACATGTTAACCATATTAGTTAAAAGTCAACATATTACTAATTTAAACCATATAAGTTTGAGTTGGATTACAAAAACAGTGACAACAGTATAACAAAAATAAAGCTAGGCAAAAAATACTTTGGTACCTCAAAAACAGTTTTTTTTTTCAAATAAATCCTGGAGTTTTATTTTTACATAAAGTTTAAATAAATGGTTTTGCTTTGATTTTGAACATGATGAGCAGAAATACTTTATGTATTTCCTGAGGGTGACAGGTTTGTGTAAGAGGATATGAGTAGTTTTAGGAGTGAGGGAAACAAACAAAAAAGATTTTCAAAAAAATCTGAAGGCTATTCCTCAAAATATTTTACACACAGTATCTAATCTGTTTCAGAACCCAGACTGTGGAACACCGGTTATTCCAGAGCTTTTAGTAAATGTAATTTTAGTAAATTAACAGTTCAGCTAACAAACTCCCAATTCAAAAATTAGAAAATTCTTTACTAATGCTATTTTCCCTTATAGATCAACACCAAATTCAATTTCTCAATTCTTTTCTAATGATAAAAAAAAAATCAAAACCTCCCATTCCCCTGAAAGCTAAGGAAGTACATTTCAAAATCTTCTCAGGTGTTTACCCTTCAAAAGAATTTCTCAGACATCGTTTTGTCATTGATAATAACATCTGTTCAATCTGTGATGTGACATTGAGACAACAGATCATTTATTTTATGAATGTATAGCTTTCTGGGATGATGTGCACTACTTACTGGCTTTTTCCCAAGATTCCAAACTTGCTTGAATTTTCTAAAAATTATATTATTATTAAATACATTGATATGGACAATAAAAAAACAAAAGAAGGGATATTACAGTGATGTATTAGTAAAAAGAAATGATATACAAAAGCAACATGGGGAGTCATGAACAGTGTCTTAAAAAAGCACAAGGTACAATTGGGGATTTCACAATACTTTTTAAAAGAAAATAAGGAACTTTATGATCAAAGTGAAATAGCAAAAGAATTCAGTCATTATTATGTGAATGTTGGTCCAAGTCTTGCAGCCCAAATACCTAAAGCTGATGAAGTGACTGAAACAATCAGTGGTTATGTAAACAGCATCTTTCTTGGTGAAACTGATGAAGAGATGATGAGAACAGAAAAAAATGTTAGATAAGAGGTCAAAAGATTGGGTAAATATGAATATGATGTTTGTTAAGGAGATAATGTCCTATGTTGTTAAGCCTTTTACTTACAAATGTAATTTATCATTTTTAACAAGTACATTTCCTAAAAAGATAAATAGCGAAGGAAATTCCAATTTATAAAAATGGTGAGAAATGTGTTTAGTAACTACAGACCAATATCCTTATTACCACAATTCTCAAAAATTTTAGAAAAACTATTTGTGATTAGATTAGATCAATTCATCATAAAAAAAAAACTTAAGCAGCAGTTAATACGGGTTTAGAGCCAATAACTCTACTTCAATGGCTTTCATGGAACTGATAGAACACAACAAATGCTATTGACAAAAAACAATATTGCACCTTTGAGGATTTGGCAAGGACAGATCCAGGGCGCAGGCAGGTTTTCAAAAATGTAACAAAAAGGTTTAATAATAAACAAAAAGAGGGCTGCTGGCAGCAAACTTACAAATTCTGTAGATTATCAGGCACGAGGGGAACAAAGCACTCAGGACAAAGCACAAGGAACCAAACCAGACACATCCAAAAACACGACAATGATCCGACRAAAGACAGAGACAGGACAGGGCTTAAATACACAGAAAACTAATTACTAAACAGAACACACCTGGGGAGAAACACAAGGGTGACAATCAAGGAGATGAGGGGCAGCTGGGCTGAGAAACACAGGGGAACACTGAAAACACTAGAAAACTAAGGAAAATAAACACAGACCATGACAGCACCAGTATTTATGTAGATTTAAAGAAAGCATTTGACACGATTGACCATAGCATCTTACTAAAAAAACTTATTAAATACGGGATTAGAGGGCCGGCATTACAGTGGATCTCGAGTTATTTGGAAAAAAGAAAACAGTTTGTACAAGTACATGATGTGAGATCTGAACTTTGTGAAATTACATGTGGAGTTCCCCAGGGTTCTGTACTTGGACCAAAGTTGTTTTTCCTGTATGTTAATGACTTGGTCAATGTGTCTGGATTATTTAAATGCATTTTGTTTGCTGATGACACAACTTTTTTTTTGTTTGGGTAAAGATCTAGAACAAATGTTAGAAAACATGCAAGCTGAATTTGTGAAAATACAAAACTGGTTTAAACTCAACAAATTATCATTAAACTTGGACAAAACAAATKATATGATAYTTACAAAGAGACAAAAAACTGTTGATATTCCATTTAGATTTGGTGGTGTAGAGATCAGTAGAGTCAGTGAGGTAAAGTTTTTGGGTGTCATTATTAATGAGAAACTAACAYGRAAACCTCATATAAATTATTTAAGAATAAAGCTAGCAAAATCTATTGCATTGCTCTACAAAGTAAGGGACTTGTTCATTGAAAGCTCTGTATATGTTATACAATATATTAATTGTTCCACACTTGGTCTATTGTGTTGAGGTATGGGGAAAGGCATGTAAGACTATTACAAATCCTGTTTTTATTTTGCAAAAAAAGGGCTATAAGAGTCATCACTTGAAAAAATTACCTTTATCCCTCTAATATATTATTTTGTAAACTGAAGTTGATGAAGTTCTATGATTTGATTGATTAAAATATTTTGTTAGTTATGTATAAAGCACACCGAAATGTATTACCTTTAAACGTTCAGATAAACTTTACAAAGAGAAAAAGCTGTTATAAACTAAAGGGAAAAGAGATGTTCATGAAACCTAAAATTAAAACATGCTTGAAAGAACGATGCACCTCAACTCAAGGAGTGAGATTGTGGAATGATTTGGAAAACTATATTAAAAATGCCACAACAATATGAATGTTTAAGAGAATGATAAAGACTGGACTGTTAAACAAATATGAAATGGTTTAATATGCAGACATTCACTTGGTTGTTCTAGAAAGTTTCAATGTTTTGTTTTGTTATGTTAGTAACTGAAAAATTGTTATAGTTTGAATTTGTATTTGTAAAAAGGGACAGATATTATAAGATTATTTTCTTCTGTCTGCCACCTTTTATTTCATTTTATTTGCATTTCTTTTTATTGTACATAGAA